CTAGAGACAAATAATGCTAGAATTGAACAAGAACTGTATTGAAGGCAGTAATGCTTAAATGCTGAGGACAATACAGTGCTGCAATCCAAAAGATGGAAACAACAATTTGGGTGGGAGCCACAGGCATTGAGGTTACCCCATGGACCAAAGGACTGCTTCTTACAAGTGTATCAGCTGCATCAGGACTTCTGTTGACTCAATGACAATTAAAAATACTTATTTTCATGTCGTTTTGTGGGTATTTGTAGTATCCTGGGGCAAATTTAATTTCAATGTAAGGTTGGAGCCAGCTGATCTATAGAGACCGTATCTCCGATGTGATCCTTGCTTCCTGCTACATGGTGATGCTCATGTGAGGGATGGAATATTCACAGTGTAAATGCACATCTTAGTTCTGTGTGTTCTGCTTTATTGTATGGTTCCCAGTTCTAAGCAATAAAGAAAATGTATTATCATCATTCAGCTATGAGTGAAACCAAACAATCTTCCAGATCCTTATTGATATTCTGCTCTGATTTAAGGTTTGAGGCCTTTCAGCTATGTGTCACGTCATCTCCCAGTTTAAACTTTGATAGATAATTCAGTTTTGTTTTTTGTGTGGAAGTTTTTTTGTTTAGTATTTCTAGGAAGTGCATCTTTAAGGAGAATCACTTTAGGAAAGCTTTGTTTAGAAAGTGTTGAGAGATAGTAGCAGGTTGGTTTATTTATGGAGTGTTTGCACTCCCCTACACACTACAGCGTTGAATAAACATATATTATCTTTTGGTGTGTACATGTAAGTATGATAATGGTAAAGTTTACAAATAATTTCAATTATTTGAATTCCTAAATTCCTAAATTTTGCCTCAAAGGAAATGAGAAATTTAAAAGGCACAGACTGTTGCTTTTTCATCTTTGCAGTTACTGAGAAAGTAGATCCATGGCTCCATCTGCTGGGGTTCAAAACCAGAAGCACAAGAAATTGCTGTTTATTGAAAGCACTGAGTCCTGGCACACTTTTTATTTCAACTAGTCAAAAGTTGAAATAAAAAGTACTGCATTTTATTTTTAAGCTGGTGAATTGATAGATTTCTCTGGAGATACTGGTGTAATATTTTGAAAATATTGCCTATTTTAACACTTGTGGTTTTCCTCTTGCAGTTACATTCACTCTCTGAAAGTTGAGCAGTTTGTCTCTTTTGACAAGATACAATAATATATACAGTACAGAGCTGCTTGTATAATTTTTACCCAATGTGGTTTTTGTAGTCAGACAACTTCTGTAGGCAAGATACGTAATATTACAATATTAGCTGGATTGTTCCTCCGAAGTTCTCCTGTGGGGAAAGAATAAAAAGTATAAAAAACTTGACTCCTTGGTTTTCTCTGGCAATTAAACATGTGACATTAAGATATTTTTGATGTTAATTTGCGTTTTGCAATATCTTGGTGCAGACCAACTTGAAAGGAGGCTATTTCCATCTGATTAACTTTTTTAATTTCTTTTGAGAGGGGAAATATTTTGTTCACACTTGGGTTTCTCATTTCCATTGGTCTGAGCACAGGAGTTCAGAAACTCTGAGCTGTAGCCAAGCTCTTGAGGAAGAGAAGATTCTGAAACAATCCACTATTACTCTGCCTGTAATTGTTTTCAAAGCAGCTTACTCATTTTCTGTCATTATATCAAACTCTGTCTTGTGTAATGCCAGCTGCAAAAATGTGCATCAAAAATCCATTCCATAAAAAGTAAAAATTGTCTTTTCCAGCACTGAGTAAACACTTCATTTTCAGCAGTAACTGAATTTTAGGATTCAAAAGTACTACAAAGTAATGGTTGTGTATTTGATCAAGATTCAGAACTCCATACAGAATAGTGTGACTGTTTTCTTGAGTATTCTCATTATGTGCTAATATATTTTGTACTAAGCAAGAAGCCTAAACAAAGGTGTCTTTCTCTGCCCTTTTCTTTTTCCTCTGTTGAAGATTTTAAGAGTGATGCCAGTAGGGACAAGAATTTTAGATAAAGAAAATTAATGGTTTTGTAGAGAAGGTGTAGCTGGAGTGAATTTCACTCTGTAAGGGTTACTGGTGTAAAGTTGTAGGTACAAATACGTTAAATGTGGAGACTGAAAGGAAACACCTCCTATGTTAATAAGACATATATGGCAGTTTACAACTCCTCTGCTGTAAGAAAAAAAATTAATGGAAGGTGAGGTTTCATTAGTATCTGAAAGTATTGGTACTTTGAAATACTAGTTATTTTTCCTTGTGTTGCAAGTAGAAAAGTTGTCATTTTAACTTTGTGCTAAACTTTGGCAGTTTAAGAATGCAAAATGTATGTGTGTTTTTAAGTGATATATAATTCTGTTAATATTAAAAATATTACTAGAACGTTTACAACATTCAAACAGTGCATGCACATGGACATGCATATATACAGGTATATTTGTACAACATTGTATGTTTTAAGACTGTTCTCTGGTGGCTATTGTAGACCTAGGAAGAACAGTATATTGTGCTTAGCTGATATTTTTATGGGTGAGGATTTCTGCTGCTTAGACAATAAGAGGAATGCTGACAGTTTGTTTTCTTCCTTCAAGAGACAGGAAAGGAGGAATCAACCGAATAAATGCTACTTTGTTATCTGCTGTTAGAGGCAATGTATTATATTAAAATTTTTTATCACCTGGAAGGCTAAGGCTATGTTTATTCAGGGTCAATCGTTAGGAATAACCTCTTCTTATTTAGGCACAGTCTTTGCATTCCCAGTGCTAGTTACATTGGGCTTTTTGCTCTTTTTTTTGCTTCTTTTTGCTCTCAGCTTGGAAAATTTTGTAGTTATAGACTAGGATGACTTGTTCTTCAGTGAAGTGACAATTTAAGCTCTGGGCAGGAGAGAGAACAGTGGCAGCAAATGTTTTATACAACCATAAAATGTCTGTAGAGGTTTAATGTATTTCAAAAAATTACTTTATCTACTGCTATTGTTAAACTGCATTATAAAGTCTTTGTTTCAGCAATTATGATCTCTCCTTAAAATACCTTGTGAGGGAAGAGCCCTCACAATCTCTAAAAATCTTGTGTGTATGTGCTTATCCATACATACCAGTAAGCCTGCAGATAAGAGATTCACAACAGCAAAGAAACCCCGACACAGTTAGGGTCTTGTAGTGGTTAAAGAAGCCAGAGAAAGGGGAAGGATGAAGAGAGTTTCATGTGGCTTTCAAAAGGCAATTTTCTTTAGGTAGAGTTATGGAAAAGTGAACAAATTGGGATAACACCAGCTCCTGGGGGAGCTCACAGGGCCTGGGATTTTCTGTGCTGTCCCCCCCCTGCAGTTGCTCTTACACAGTGGTCTGAATGCAAACTTTCACAGCTGTCAGTGGACTGGAGCAGCTGGCTGTGCTTCAGTTCCCAGTGGATGTAAAGTTATTATGGTAACTCCTGTCCTGTATTCAGAGTTTCCCCCCAGTTAGACTGAATTCATGGAGGGTTTTCAATCAAAGAACCTGGGCATTGTCTAGGTCAGGCTTTAGCTTGCCATCAGAGATCACCAGTGACTTCTAGCAATTAGTAGCTATTCTCCATCTCTTTTTCTCATCCTGAACTACAAAATTGCTTATTGATTCCTGGTGTTTGTGAATAGTGTGGCTGCTTGGCACTGCATGTTCAGAGTGGAACTGTACTAGCATTTTTAAAAAAAATGTCAATTGCAGAAAAGTCCAGTCCTATCTCCAGTCAGAAACAGTCTTTGAACTTACTTGTTACCCTTTCTTTCACAGTTACTTAACATATATGTAGTTTTACTAATACTTAAAAATTCTGTTTCAATTTATATACATATATATGTGTGTATGTATACACTACCTAAATACATATACTGCTCACAGATACTTGCTTTAGCCACATAATACATATTAAACTGCTCATTAGATGAATTAATTTTTTTTTGCACTTGACATACAAACACAGTCCAGACAAATGACTTGGGGTTTATTTTTATGTGCTGAGCCACCAGCAGCTCATGAAGTTACATTGGGGCAAAATTCCTACAGCCTCTCGTGTTTTTGTGATTATATATTACACGTTTTTATTGCTCTCTCTCTCTGTGGTCCTGTCTTTCACAGTGGCAGTTTATTATAATGAGAAGAAAAAGGAGATAGAACTGGTATATATTTCATAAAGATTAATATTCTTGCAGTACATCTGCAGTGCTGATCAAAATAAGTTTTGTTTGAATGTTTATAAAATAATGCCAAGTGCATGTGCATGGAAGCACTTCTCACTAATTTCAAAAAAACATGAAAAATTAGCTAATTATAAGCAAATAAGCTATGAGAGGATTTCAGAGAAGTGTTCAAAGGAAACATTACAGCTCAAATCTAGAAATATGATCCCATATTTTGACAGTAAATTCTTTGAACTTACAGTTCTTTAGGAAGATTTTTTGGTGTTGCATATTTTGGCTGGACTGCAATGCCATAATATTGTGTACTGTGAAGCCTTTAACAGAAACACATAAAGTAATTAAAATACAACTGAAAGTTCAGTGAAGGTTGGAAAATTTAAATCCTCTTCTTTCATGCAAAAATCTCAGTATTTAGAAATACAAAATAATGAATTGTTCTACTCAGATAATGAAAAATCAACTATTTGCTGAGAGTGCTTACACTTTATAGTAACTTAACAACGAGGATGCTTGGGTGATATATTTGTATATCTTTTGGCATTTAGATTTTATACCATTACCCAGTGTAACAGTATACAATACTGTTGTACAATACCATATATAAAATTTTATCTTTTGTTAGTAGAATATTTTAAGCCACATGTTGCTCAATTCTTAGTGCAGGGTGTTGAACATCGCTTTGAAATGCTAAAAGTCTTCAGTAATGTGTATGCAACAAATTGATGTTGACATCTTGTGTATTCAGGCTGACTGACAAATCTGTTTGGGTAGTCTTTGAGGCTGAATAATTTATTTTCTTCCCCTTCTCCCCTTTATTTTTCTCTCATCCCAGATTATTTTATTGGCTGTGAAGAACCACGGACCCTTTGTGCCCTGATGGGGGACTCGGGATCCAGACGAGCGACTCTTGTGTCTCGGTTGCCAATATTCAGGAGAAGCGTTAGCCGGAGACACGACTCCCTGCCTTCCTCGCCTTCTTCTGCCAATGCCATTGGTGTCCACACCTCCTCTCCATCCAGCACTAACTCCAGCTCAGGGAGCACAGGAAAGCGCCGGAGTATTTTCCGCACTCCTTCCATTAGCTTCCATAACAAGAAAGGCAGTGAGCAGAAGCCTGACTCAGCGAGTCAGAATGTTAACATCTCAAATGGTGCCCAGTCCTCTCTTAGCACTTTTCAAAAACTCAGCTTAGACGAGCACATAAAAAGCAGAGGAAGGCATTCAGTTGGCTTTGGCAGCTCCCGTAACAAGAAGATAACAAGGTCTTTGACAGATGATTTTGAAAAGGGAAAGGAGCCCTCTGCTAATAAGAATGTCTTTATCAATTGCATAAGCTCTGGGAAGAATGAGGGTGACGATTCGGGCTTTGCAGAAGAGCGAAGCCGATATTCCGTCAAACAGTCCACACGAAAACTTCTTACTAAATCTTTTTCATCACACTACAAATTTTCCAAACCAGTTCCGGAGAGTCAGTCGGCTTCCTCCGTGCAGCAGCCCAGGTGCTTTCTGGAAGTTAAATCCTACGTGGAGAGCGAACCTGTGATGGCCAAGTCGTCTCCTCCATGCTCGGCTGAGACGACGGAGTGCATGGGCAGCTCCCTGCAGTCCCCGCTGCTCTCGGCTGACCTCACGGCTGCCCAGACCCCCTCGGACTTTGTCGCTCTGACCGAGGACTCTGTTTCAGAGGCTGATGCCCTGCCCAGCAGTGGGCCTGGGACACTGCTTGCAGAGGATTTTGGCCACGATGTCTCTACCTCACAGATCTTCTTTAATCCTGCTGCTGCTCCTGCGAGGGAGACGGATACTGTACAAAGCACTGGCCATTCTGCTGGTGTATCTCCTGTGAGTCATGCAAGCTCGTGCAGCGTGGAATCCAGTACCTTATTCAGAACCTCAGTTCCTAATCAAACAAAAGTGCTGTTGCAAGCCAATGGACTACATATAAATGATGCCAGGCATATAGAAAAAATTAACTCAGAAAATGCACATCTAGAAACCTTGAGGTTACAGTGTAGTGAAGAACCAGTGACACTCTCTCCAAAGGCACGGGCCTTAAGTGAGAGCAGAGATGAAAGCAGTCCATCCAAGCACATGAGAGACGCAATTCCTGTAGTGGAGTCGAAGTCTGTTCCATGTTCTGAACCTCAGTCCCTTAAAACCCAACAGGGTTATGAATCAAACCATCCTAAAGGTATGTTTCATGGTCTTTTCATTTTTGAGTTTGGTGAGTTTTGGGGGTCTGGCCTCATTTCTTCTATAATGATTGTTTTGTCATGAAATTTTATCAGAATTGCAAGTACTAGCTATGATATTCAGAAAGTAGAACTTTTTTTTTTATACATTAAATGCAAAGTTTATTAGTTTTTTGAGTTTGTGTTTTAGTGTTTGCAAACACACATCAGTGCTGTTTGTGGCTATGCTTTGTTTAATAGAAAATTAATTAGGAATGCAAGTATTGACTCCCAGCAAAGCTGTGGTTTCTTGAGACATGGCTATTTTGGACTTGGACCAAGGGATAGTATAATTTGGGATGGAAGCATCACCAGAGAAACAAACATTCCTGTAGTCTGATTATGGGAAATAATACAATTGAGTTTATATTGGTCTGGATTTAAACATTTCTAGAGTCTTGCTTTCTCTATTCAACTGATTTTATAGAGTAACTCAGGGTGGATATCTTGTCAAAGTATGAGATACCCTGTTTCTGGTTCCATCTGAAATAAGTGTCCAAATTCTCATTTTGTCATCTGTGGAACTGAGGGAGTTAATTACCATCTAAATTTCACACTGAGTCTTTAGTTTATGAAGAGTGGTTTGGAAATACTAACAAGATTAAGTGGAAAGACTGTGCCTAGAAATCCCAATCTATAGAGATACAGATAAATAATGCACCAGGCCCTTGAGTGAAGGACACCTGTCAGAAGACATTTATCTCTGACAGTTTGTTTTCTTGAGCCAGCTTAATGACTGGTGCTTTCTTGCTTAATTCTGAGGCTGTATGTGGTGGGCCAAAATTTGAGGGTTAACAAGACAGTATTTGTAGTGATTGTATTAGAAGATGAATGATGGTAAGTATAAACTCATATAAATTCACACCCATCATTCTGCTTGGATATTTGTCTAGGCATGTAGATTATATGCAGTCAAAAGCAATCTTGCTTTTTGAATTATTAGTCACTGCTAGGCTTAGTTGGAGATCTTGTACATAAATGGCAATAGAAAGTGAAATTAATCTACTGAATTAGCTTTCACTAGAGGGAACCTCTTTCACTTGGAGCCTCAGTCACTTTGGGGAAAAAAAATATTATTTATCTGTTCTATCCATTTATCTATATTACTGGTCCTGAGCACTCGGTTTGTCTTCCTTGCCACACTGTTTCATCTGTGAATGAGCTCTTATTCAGAATCTGCCTTGCTAGAGTACACTGCAGAACACCAAGTGAGCAGCTTGGGGGGATGTTTAGAAATACCCACTGTATTTCAGACTCATTCATTGGCAATTGGATGTTTAATCTGTATTTCAGTAAGGCAGCTAAAGGAAGTTGAAATCATGACAGAGAGATTTTTGTAAATTGGATTCATGTTCACAGAAATACTAGAGCTAATACTGCACTATGTAAAAGCTGATGATTAATTGTTCTGTTTTTTTAGTGCAGTTCAAAATACTTTTTGTTTTTCTGGTGTTGTGAAGAATGTATTACAAATTAGAAATTGGCCAAGTGTACAAGGGAACCACTGAAAATAAGATAAAATCCTACCATATGAAATGAGTCGAATACAGAAAAAGCTTACATGGCACTCAGTAAGATATGGTTATAAATACTTACACCTGCTGCAAACAGACTGGTTTGGACATTTGGTTTTCTAAAACAGTATTTAAATCTAGATTTGAACACAAAATATTTCTATGCATTTTCTTTGGTAATAGATATTTTCTCTTCTGTACCTGGTCTCATAGCAGATACCATTATAGATAGCATCGTGAATGTGACATTAATTTATGAGCAGGTTTGAAGTGCCATATATTTCTTAGTATATACCTTTATGCATTTTTATGTGATATGGATTTTTTTTTTTGAGAACTCTTAGGGAAAATGTCTCTTCTCTTGCAAAAGGCAAAAGAAGATAAGATTTTCTATATGTGTGACATTTATTATGCTATTATGCTTTTATGTTTCCCCATTTCTAAATCTGCCTTAACATGTCTGGAAACTGATTTGCATCCCTGTCTTATGCAGAGGTAACAAAGTTGTCACCTGGCCCTTCAAAAGCTGGACTTGCCTTTGGGCATTAAGGCAGGTTGTTTTTTGGCACCACTGGACAAATTTCTCTGGTAGGTTTTCAGCAATTTGGAAGTATCCATGGTGAGGGGAGAAAGAAAAGGATGGAGCAAAGAGTCCTGGATTCTATGGAGAGTCCTGGAGTGGGCTGTAGTGTGCTGAGCATGCCTGTCATTGGGGCTGAGCAGTGAGCTGAGGGCCCAGGTGACACCTTTATTTAGGTAAGCACGGTCTGCTTTCCACAGAACATTTCTCATGTGAACTCGTTTCAGTGTAATTTTTTCAAGCAAAGCAGTGTTCTTGATTAGGAAAATATTTGTAGAGGGCAATTCCCTGTAACAACTGCTGGTTGCTTCTCCCTTTGTAGTTGATCTTGCCAATAGCCTGAGTCCGTACCGGGAAGGCAGATTTGTTGAGAAACGGCTGAGGTCCTCTTCAGAAGGTACAGCTGGGGGCAGCCGGCTGATCATAAAACCAAGGGATGGAAATGCAGAAGAGCTGAACAGCCTAAGGAAGCAGAGAGCAAGCTCATCCTCTTCCAAAATGAACAGCATGGTGAGTTTTATTCCCACATGCCTAAGCTGATGTTTTTCTCTGATTGGTGTAGCTATAGTGAGAAGCAGTGACTTCACAGATTTAACAGTAATAAAGAGGGCAGGAGCTGTCTCAGGCTTCCATAATGTGATCTAGGCTCAGCTTCAGATATTGGAAGCATTTTTTGCAGGATGTGGCGCTGTGAAAAGGTTTGTGTACTTTCTGGGGAGAGTTTCTTGGTGACATGTGTTGGTGATTTGCTTGAGCTATTAAAGCATGGAGCTCTTCATGTTTCTCTGCTTTTGCAGGAAGCTTGCATCCAAGTATAAGTGAATAAAAAGTAATTTTTTTAGAGCCAGAAAGAATGTGATAACCTGTAAAGGTGCTGTTTCATGTAGGCATACAAAGCATTATACAAATGGATTTTATGCCCTAAAATACTGATTAATGGTTGCTCAGGCCTGTGAACTTTTTTGGCTTGTTAGACCCAAGCTGTTAGGCAGATCTTTGTGTTTATTTAAATACTAGGCTACACTGATGCTGTAGCACTTCATTCTGTTCAGCTCTGTATTAATGGTGGAAGTGGGAAGGTGACAATCCGGGAAAAACAGGAAGTAGAGAATGTGTGGATGGGATTAGGTGGTAATCTGATCCCTTCCTTGTGTTTTGTTCATAAAATCTATGAGTTTTTTCCCCCACTGCCATTGACAAAAAGCAAAATTGTCCAATTGTCCACAGATTGACATGATTTGCTTATGCTTATTGGCATTACAGTCACACACCAAGGACTTCTAAAACAGGATTAGAGAGCAGGCTCATGAGTGAAGGTAGAATTATTCTTGCTTTCCTCCCAGTACGTATGGATATTATCTTCTTATCTTAAGAAAACAGGAGATTTTTAGTAAAAAGTGAGGTTTAGGAAGTAAATCAAACGAAACCAAACCTAAAAACACCTTTTCCACCCTTTCCTCCCTACAAACAACCAGAAGACAAAAGAAAAAAACCAGAGTTTTCCGGAAGCAAAAGAAAAAAAAATACTAAGAATTTGAACGTTCAGAGTAATACATGTTTGAATGGTAAAAGGCCTCTTCAAAATACTTGTTACAATCAATTGATGTTTGACACTACAGTAGCAGATTGCTCCCAATAAATGATGCTAATGAAGAATAAATACTAGATAAAGAATTGGTGTTACTACACAAAGTATTGTGAAAAGCCTTAATCTAACACTCGTACGTGGCTAGAACAGCATGAGTCACATGGCTGTCTGTATTAATTTTGTTCAGTTCTGGAGAAAAATGAGGCACATACATTTAAGGGATGTCAAATCTCTGGGGCAGAGTCAAGGCCCCCGGGGCAAGGGCAGCATTGCTGCGCAGTTCTGCTCTGTGGCTGTGGCTGCTGATGCAGGTTTTCTGGCATCACCCAGGTGTCTTGTTAAGCTGAAGAAACTGTGTACCTGTATATTTTCCCCAGCTGGTATTCTTTTCCTGTTGGCAGGCAGTGTGAGCTGCTTCTGCTTGAGGGACTGGGAGTGAGGAGCCAGAAAGTCTTGCTGAAGGGATGCAGGGTTTTTCACAGGAGACAGGAAGTAAAAAAAAAATTTAGCATCTGAGTTGTTCTTTATCCTAAACATCTTTCTCAGCAGAGTATGCTTGCATAATTGTCAGTTTTTTTTGAAGATGACAGGTAAAAGTTTGGTTCTCAGACCAATGCTGTTTGTAAATGAAAGTTAGTGAAGAGAAAAATCTTTTGAAATAACTCTGCAAACGTGCCAATTTCGTAGTACTGTAAATAATGATGTGGAACAAATGCTTGAGGTGTATTGGATTGCCAATTATGTGTTTACAAAGGTGCTCTTCTTGCAGTGGCCGATTTCTGCTACAAGAGGGCACCGTTTCACCAGAAATGGCTTTGGAGAGCGTTTTGGAATGACTTGTCATTCTAACGCTCCAGCAATGAACTCATGAGTTAACAAATTCAAATCTTTTGACATAACATATAGACTAGTTAACTATGTCTCAGAAGGTTGGTAGAAGTTATGTTTCACCTACTGTTTCTAACTAGGTGATTCTTCTTTTCCAATGTGTAACAGAGACGAGAAGAAAGAAAAATGTGAATCAGCACAGGCAAAAGACCTGAATGATCTGAAATATGTAGTCCTGCAAGACCAGTGAAAGGTGTTAACATGTAGTTGACTCAATGGGAATTAGATTTACCACACTGAAAAAAAAAACCCAAAAAACTATCAGACCATCAAGTTTGTTCTTTAACGGGATTAGGAGACGAAACAGCAGGGGAAAAAAACTTGATGTGTAACATTACTTGGAACTAAGAGAAAGTGAGATATGAGTGAGCAACAGAATTATCTATCACTTGTCATAGTTGTGGCTAATATGGAATATCACAATTATCAGTACAGAGACAAAAAGTTAAATTGTTTTTAATGTATGATAGAGATTTTTAAATGCTAGCAAATTAAAGTCATTAAGACCAGATAGTCATGAAGGATGATATGAATGGAAGTAACTGTGCAGTACTTCAAGTTTAAAAAAAACAAACTTGAGAGCATAGTGGGAGCACCTAGCTCACAATGCCCAATTTAAAGACATGAGTTACACTGTGCTGTATGCGTACATGTGTTTTCACTCTGCCTAGAAATATGGCTGCATATGTGCAGTGGATCAAGACTGCCCACTTTTCTTTGGCTCTTGCAGATCTGCCCTTCTGCCTCTTTGCTATTCTTTACAAGAAAAATAGTTATTTGTCTTTAAAACTGCACCCTTGCCCACACTTGTCTATCAGCATATGTACTACTCAACTAAAAAAAACCCCTTATTTTTCAACTTCTGGTCTGAGTGGGTGAACATTATGTTCTGCAGGACTGTGTTTCTCTGGCCACTCTTTAGCTGTTTTCTCTTCAGTTTCTCATACTTGCATCTTTTCTAAGTGTTCTCTGTTTCTTGCATCTTAAATTCAGCTTCAACTTTTCACCCTTGCAGGTAAAAACTTTTGTGCTTGCCCTCAGTGCTGCATCATCAGCTTCCTTTGCCTGGAGCAAAGCAGCCTTGCCGCCTGTGCCAGCCCAATTAGAGCAGCACAACTTATTTTTCTGGATTGTTGCTTTGAGTCTGCCATTTCTTTCTTTGATTTTTCCTGTGGTTCCTATCTATTAGATATAAAACCAAGGACTTTTGAGGCCTAAGGACATCCCGGCCTTTTCCCCTTCAGCTTTAAGAGTGGCCCCGTTGCCAAGCTGTCAAATAATTGCATTTGTGTTTTCTCCCATACTGCCTATCATGCACTTGGGTAACTGCAGTTACTTCATTTCCTTTCTCAATTTTTACTTTACTTTTTTGCCTTGCCTAAAGATAAATTTTCAAGGTGCATGCTGAAAGGTTTTTATTAAGGTTTTTACTGAGCTTTTTTTGGCTTACCCATCCAGTGCTGATGCTTGGCCAAAATCCCCCTTCTCTCACAGTTGTCCTATGCTTGTTATGTGGGGATGCTCCAAGTACTGAACATCTTGGTAAAAGTACTTACAGCATAAATTACGAACAGCGAATGCTAAACCACGTGTCAGAATACAGGACAGTATTTAATGGGCAGGAATTCAATTTGATAATGGAATTAATTGAATATGTTAGTTAAACATTAAATTAAAAAAACAGTAATTTACTAACTTAGTATTGAGGGGGCCATCTGACATTTTGGGAATATAGAATAAAGGTAAATGATTGACACAGGCATATGCTTTAAAAAGAGAGAATAACTACAAATACTTGAGACTCCTAGTGTGTCTGGAGGGAGCAGAAAGTCAAAGCCAGAGGTCACTAATGAAAGTATATTATGGCAAGAACATCTGTGATAATTATCCAATTAGCAGCTGGTGTCTGAATTGTGGCTGGTGTCCTGGATATTGTGTGTGTGTGATGCTACCTCAGTTTTGTTACCTAAGTGATTTGGGGTGACTTAGAAGTTAATAGTCTGGTTTCTAGTATACTTCAGAAATAGTACTTGCAATGTGCATGGAGCAGTTATCCAAACCACTGTACTAAAATCTCTTTCTGTGTTTGGTATTCTACCTTATCAGGCTACACCAAAACATGTAGCTCATGAAAGTGTGTTTATTGCTTCTCACAGCTAGATTTATTTTTAATGTTACCTGAGTACCCTTATTTATTATCAAGTACCAGTTTTAATCCAGTTGCTATATTATGACAGAAACAGCAGGATCCTTTGCCCCTATGGACTTCAGTGAATGTACATGAATAAGGGCTAAAATGTTTTTTATGTTCCTCTTGCCTATGCTGAGTTGTATATTTTGCTGATGTATTATTAAGCACAGAGTATGAATCAGACTAGGTTGGCTGCTAGTCTAGAGAGAATTGAAGTAATTGTCATATTTGCTTGAGGTTACTTCCACACTGACCTTCTGGAAGCTGTGATTTTTACAGTGTGTGGCTATTACATGAGGTGGAAGCTGCTATTGAAAATACTTGAGTTGAATGTGTTTCAGAGGGTGACCAATGAGTAGATTTGAAGGTGGAGTTGAATGTGGCTGTTTTTTGTGACCCATAAATGTGACCTGGAAAGGCCTGATATAACCTTGTGGGATATGTTCTTCTTCTACAGGCTGGCGTTAATTATTAATGCCTGGAAAGGCAGTGAATGAAAGGTTAGAGCGAGGATTTGAGTGCTCAGGGCTTCAGTTCAGGTTGAAAAAAACCCTTAAACAAAACAGCCTTTTTCAGATATGCCAAGACTGTTACAAAAATATGAACTAGATAAGCAAAATGCACACACTTCTTTACTGTCTTCTGTGCAACCTTCTTTAGAACTAGCAATGTTATGTGTGCTCTGAATTGCTGCAGCCTGTTTCTTTAACTTGCTAAAGGGTGTATTATCTCAGGTATCTGTGGTGTTCATGAAAGCTTTGTCATGATTAAAATAGATATGCCATTCTTTTTGTGTCACTGAATTACGGTATTTCTGCTTAATTCAAATTCATCTCTGCTATG